CTCCCGATATTCGGTATTTTGATGATTTTAGTGGCATTATTCACCGGAATTGTTTCAAATTTGGCATTTCAAGTTCGTAATGGATACTACAGCCTAAGACTGAAAATTATCTGTGCATGTATAGGTCTTCGTATAGCCCCCATATAACGGTACCTCCCGATATTCGGTATTTTGATGATTTTAGCGACATTATTTACCGGAATCCTTTCCAATTTGGTATTTGAAGTTCGTAATGGATACTACATCCAAAGTCAAAAAATGGGCCATGCAGGTACACGTCTTCGTATAGCCCCCATATACCGTACCCCCCGATATTCGGTATTTTGATGATTTTAGCGACATTATTTACCGGGATTTTTTTACATTTCGCATGTGAAGTTCGTAATGGATACTTCAGCCCATGCCAGAAAATTGTCTGTGCAGGTCCACGTCTTCGTATAGCCCCCATATAACAGTACCCCCTATATTCGGTATTTTGATGATTTTGGCTACATTATAAAAAGATTTTTTCAAGTTTCGCATTTGAATATTGTAATAGCTTGTGACAAAAGTTGCTTATGTCGGTCCACGTCGTGGTATAGGCATTCGGTATTTTTTAAGATTTTAACAGAATTTTTAACGGATTTTATTTTTTCTTTTGGAAATTGCCAAATTTGTGGTGGGTGTTAAAAGTTCCGCCCACCCGAACTTAGAGCTTTTTTACTTGTTTATTTATTTAATTATTTATTTTTTATTTAAATGGTATGAACTATCAAAATCAGGCCAGCTTTCTCATATATATGTAGATTTAGTGGAGGATCTGAGTTTGTATTCTCGATTGCAATTCCAAAGCAGTGGTTAAGTGTCATCTTTGTTTCAGACTAATCAAATCCTCACTATTTACGGTGGTAAACAATAATAATTTCGATACAATTTTGTATATGTGTATGTCCTTTCCCCCCTTTTTTCTACAAGCCTCAACCGTTAATCCAACATACTGCCAGACTTTTTTACGCATTTAGTGTAGCCCGTATGTAATTTAAGCACTTCTGGTTCTTTTTTTTGTAACGTCGGGTGACAAATTTAAGCTGTTCTTTTGTCATTGTTTCCTTTGATTATTTCGTAGAAATTGTATGAGCGTGAAGTATTTAATACAAATCTCTGTGAACATTACCTAAAGTTAATGAAAAATTTCAAACTTTTACCCTCAAAAGATGGGCACACGAAAATTTTAATGTGTAACGAACGAACAACTGATTGAATATTAAGTGAAACTTTACTTCCTTTCCTTTCACAAAAACAATACCAACGAAAAAAGTCCATAAAAACTTTTAATTTCCATTAAGAAATTAGATAACAATTGAAATGCGGAAAAGAACTCAATTCAAAATTAAATTACACAACTTTAGACAAAGTTTGAACAAAAAAACGACGAGCCACTTTTTTGTCACTATCTTAAAATTTTCTTCATGCCTACAATTTAAGGTGTCTAATTTTACTTCCTGATTGGAATTTACAAGTTTTTCGTTAACTTTTACGAGGGCTATGAACACAGGAACATATTTGGTATGAAGGATGTGTTGTGTCTTGGGAAGCAGGCATTAAATTCGTAAGTGGGGGGTAATTTTATGCTAGGCATTAACTGCTTCCACTCCATCATGTGGTGTGTGCATAGCACGCACACATATATATCTTTTTAAAAAAGTAAACGTATAAGTCGTTTAAGCTGTGTTTTTATTTGAGAATAATTATATGTTCATCTTTTCTGTACAGGGTGAGATTAAAAAACTGCAACAAACTTAAAACTGCAGTCATTTCTAAGTCACTTGTCCGACAGCTGTTAAAATTATTTCAGTGACGGCTCATTATATTGTTTACAAGCGTACAAAAGCATTTTGGTGAGAATTTCTCAAAAAGCTTGGCCGAAAGTGGTGAACTGCCGAATTTGGTTTTTTCCGATGAGAAAACATGCAGTTTGTAAGCAAACAAAATGATCGTGTTTACTTGCCAAAGAGTTCAGCGGATGGTATGGGCCGGGATTACAGCCGATGGTCGCTCTCCGCTCGTATTAATCAGAATAAGTGCCGAATATTATCGCGAAAATATTCTGGAGAGTGTTTTAAAGCGTTGGACACGCAAACATTTTGGCCGCAGACCTTGGACACCATGGTTACAAAATGAGGTTCCTCGCTTCATTTCCAGTGACAATGGCCACCGAAATCTCGGGATACCAATCCGTTGGACTATTGTGTCTGGAGTATTTTGGAAAGCAAGGTTGGCACTAAAAAATACCAAAGTGTCGATCACCTCAAGCAAGCGCTTTGCCGGGAATGGGCCAAAATACCGCAGAACAACATTCGGGCAGAGTGTGATGGTTTTATTGGCCGTTTGAACGTCATAATTCGTGCCAAAGGTGACCAATTCGAACAATACTAAACTTACTATGAAATTTTATGCTATTTCCTACATGTTTTGCTTTCATTAAAAAAAAAAAAATTAAAAAAAAATAAAAATTATGGCGTTTGACTTTGTTGCAGTTTTTTTTTATCTCACCTTGTATACTGGATTTGATAAAATATATATTCTTGTTTTATTACAACACCCTCAATCCTCCCAAACATATGACCGTCTACACTGAGAGAAATTTCTGCATCAATATAATGAATTTCTGCATTGGCCCAATGAAATGTTTCATTAAAAAAAGACCAAAGAAACATTTCATTGGATGAATGATTCGTAAACATTTATTTAATGAAACGTTTCCATCATTGGATGGATGAAATATTGCATTAGATTAATGACAGCCATTCAAAGATGTATTGAAACAAGTTCATAGAATATATGAAATATCTTCATATATTTAATGTATAGTTGCATTCGTCGAATGAATCATATTCACACATATATTGAAAAAGTTTCATTGGACTAACGACAAAGTCATTAACCCAATGAAACATGTTCATTGATGTAATGAAATAAATTCATTGATTTAATGAAGCTTTCATTTATTCTATGAAACATAATCGTTAATTCAATGCAACATCTTCATAGATATAATGAAATTTATTCATGAATAGAATAAAATGTCTTCATAAATCCAATGTATATGTTCATAGATTGAATGAAACATATTCATACAACAAATGAAACATTAATACAACAAATGAAACTCCTTCATATGCTAAATGAATGATGTACATTTAAATAATGAAAGGGTTTCTTTGATTTTATGAAATTGTTAATTTTTTATGAACGGGTTTCATTTGTTGTGTGAATATGCTCAGGCATTATTTACCATTTAGACAAGAATATATTCACATACTTATTTTTTTATTTTTCTTTATTTTGTAAAAACGTATCTTTGTTAATTCATTTACAAACAAAAGAGGTCTTAGATATCTATGTTAAACTCAAAAATAATAAATTCATATTGTGACTTGTTTTGCAAGCGGTTTTTAAAAATTAATTTTGTAAAAATTATTTAATCAGTGTTACAAAAGTTCATGTTTCTTCTTACATATCATATTTTGTAAACAATTCTACTTAGTTATAATTCATTTTTCAGTCCATTTTGATTTGTTTTTAACAGTAATATATTTAAAATATTTTTAGCATACAAGTTCTTATAAAATACTATAATTTTTTTAATTATATAGTCTATAAGTGTCTTTATTTGTAATTACTTGAGGTAATTCAAATACACAGTCAGTTTTTAATCTGCGGAATTTAGGAACGTTTGTTATTTGCATAAATCTAATTTTCTAACTTATTTTTAATTGATATGAAGATATCAATATAAAAATAGCTTAATTATTATTTAATTTAGTGTTTTAAATATCTGAGAATTTATAACTTATTAAATTGAAACCAATTACTCAGTTTGTTTCTCTAAATCATCCAAGAGGATGCTTACCTTTGACTTTTTCTTTGAGCATGAACTTATTTCAAAAAAGTAGTTTTCCAAAAAGATCCAAAATGTTTCAGATGCTGTGGGATATTGTAAATTAAATAAATGGAACATTTTAAAACAAATATCCAAAGAGCGAAGAAAATTAGGAAACCGTATGAGGTCACCATCAAAATAAACAAAAATTTCATGTATATCGTCCAGACTTCCGATTCCCAATATAAAAGGCTGAATATGTTCTTTCATCTTTAACAAAAAATCAATATGGTCGTGTAATTCTTGCAAAGTCTTTCCCAAAAACAAAAACGTCTTCTGGGAGTCCTTTATTGAATAGCGAGATATTTCTTTCTTTCCGAGAATTGTTTTTCGAACTTGCCGCCCAGTCGGGAAAAGAACATAATGTAAAATCCACAGGGTTTTCACTGCAAATGTGCCTCGATCTGCAAATAATAACGTTAAATTAGGTTTGATCGATTTGTTGAGCTTGACTTGAAGACTCTTACCCTTTTCCAAATCTTCGTCCTGGAGAGTTTCTAACATTTTTGACTCACCATGACATTTAAGTTGCTTAGATTTTTTCAAAAAGTTAAACAACTTTAGGATTTTTTGGTCCCAGTTGAGCATTTTGTTGTGCGATTTATGCATTATTGAGAAGTCAATATCAATCTGAATTTAAAACAGTTTTTGTAGAATTACGCTAAAATTATCAAATGTTTACAATTTGATATATATACTCACCAACTTATAATGTGATTTATATTCAGGCCACTTTTTAAGAATCTCTCGTAGGCTACTGCATTCGTTAAGTACTTGATTAAGTCTATAGTTGGCACAAGAAATCCACTTTGTTTCAAACTCTTCAGCTGAAAGCTTGTCATATTTAAGAACTTGCACCAAATCCTCTCCATTCTCCTCAGGTACTGAAAATACAAATTAATTAAAAACCATTACTAAACCACAAATTCCACATTTCCTACCAAAAGTAATTTTAGCCTTTTTTGAAGCCGTAGGTGATTCGTTTTCCAGCATAAAAATCTGCTTGTTTTGTTTTTTAAGATTTTGGGATTTTACATAAATTTTTCCTCTACGTTCTGTTCGATAGAATTCAAGTTTTTCAGTCGGAAATAGAGACAATATTTGCGTTTCGAGTTTGTAGCTTGTTTGAAGAGGCAGCAATGTTTATAATGAAAACTCTTAGTTCATCTGTGAGAAACTTGTTTTTTTCGTAAAACTGTAGCACACGTTCCCCATTTTTATTACTTTGCAATATCTCCAACATATTGACGTTATCGACTTCTTCCGTATCAGATGAGTTACACGAATCGGCTTTTTTGGGAAAAACTAGAGGACTTGAACATTCTGCCCAAAATGGATGGTTAATATCATGTCTCCACTTTGTGAAATGGTGAATGAACTGGGCCTTGTCTCCAATTCTCCAATTCTGTGTCAGCTCTTTAACATGTTCCTCAGTTAGTATTTTCAAAATATCAATAGAAATATGTTCACCTATAAGAAGTTAACGTTATTATAGCACAAAAAACTAAATATATAGGTTCAGCATATAAGTTAAATCTTACGTATGAGTATGTCCAATTTGTCCTCTATACCCCACGATATAAGTAAGTTTTTCAAGGCATCTTCTTCCCCACAGCTCAAAGTCTCCGAGTTTGTTTCAGACATTTTTAAACTAAAAATAAATTGTTTAGCATGGAAAAAGGTATTTTTAAATTGTTTCTTTGAAACGAAGCATAAATTTTCCCTTAGCGGTATTAATCAATGTGGCCGGTGGTCCAATTAATTCGTCAAGCTTCAAAACGGAATATTCTCCTTTATCATTTGGAATAATTTCAAATGCAGTGTAGTGTTTCAAATACGTACTGTTTAGAACTTGTTGACAAACCAAATAAACTGTGAGTTGTGAAACAACGATGTTGACAATTTTGTATACATCATCTTTTTTTGTTGCTACAAAATACGAACTTTTGTATGTGATATTTTTATAAACAACTTTTTCAAAAGTCTTTATAGTATTTTTTGCAACTTTTAATTTGAGGCTTATAACGTCCAGCAAATAATCTTGACACTCGCTGATATTCGAGCAAATAATGTCCGGAATCTCAGTTTTTTCTAACAAAAAATCTGCAAACACAAATTGATATTTTTTTGCCATGGAAACAGAAATATTTTTTCTAGACGTGATTGCGTGAGCATACAATTTAAAGCTCCTATGTTTTGCCTCATACGGAAAACACCAAAAATTTCGTACTGGGCCGCAAGCCCTTATAACTTCAGGATAATGCGTCAGTATATGAAACTTAGGTTTAAGTTTATCATTAAATAACTTGAGATACATTTTATTATGTCTTTTTATATTACTTTCCAAAGAATTTATCATGAAGGCGTCCACCCGAAAAGACAATATAGTATCTACTATTTCAATTAATGTTAGTACGAGCTGCCAAACTTCATCGTCACGTGGCACGAAATCGCCTACCATAATGGGAAAATATATAACAAAAGTTAGCATTTCACGAGCAGACATTTTTAAATGCTTTTTTTCCAAATGTAGCTTAGTAATATCTGGTGAAAAATTACCAATTTCAAGCTCTCCATACTCAAAGCATCGTTTACGTTTATTTAATTCTTCAAGTGAAAAGTATTTTTTGGTTGTAACCAAATACAATATGACATTTGTCATGTCATAGTGGCATACGCCCTCCAAGACATCATGCATTGCGTCTACGCTTATATTGTCAATTACATGAAATCTTGGAATTTTGTTGAATTCACATTTTTCAATGATTCCGGTTTTCTTTGAATCAGTAATTTCTAATGCGCTGTTATATTTACCGTAGTCCCGCCTGAGCTCCGGATTGGCCGAACATGATTTCTGACTAGATTGATAATCAATCTCACAAAAACGGCAAAACTTTCCGTTGAAATTTTTTATGAACCCAAGAATACTATTCAAACCCAAATTGTCGCCCAGAATTAAAAGAGGTATAAAATAAACATGAAATGTAGCACCGTCTGACATCTCTATATCCAAACCTTCGGTTTCTAAAAATGCCATTTGTTCAACTACTGATGCAAGACACTTTTTATTCCCGAATTTTTGTATGTCTTTGTTTTTAATGCTTCCTAGGAAAAAAATATTGTTCAATTTTGTGGCGTTAGGCAGTGTAGGAAAAGAAAAGTATAAATTGCAGATTGAATGGGTAGTGGCGTGGGAACCTAATGGGTTATTAATCTCGATATCGTCGGAGTAAAAGTTATAAGGAATTAATAGTTTACCGGGATACCGGCTAACCTTTTTTTGCCACAGTGGTCCCTGAATAATATTTTGAAATTCATTGGAGTTCTCAAGTTCATGACAAATCGACCGCATTTGGTAAAAATTTTTATTTTTTTCTAGAATTTTTTTGAACATAAATGCCATAGGCATTGTTGTAATTTTTGTTGTCAAATTTGAGTGGACCAACTTACCTTTAGTATGAGCTAGTGTTTCTCTTTGATCAATCACCGTTTCTTTTAGATCTTGAAGAAGATTAATCTCTTTTAGTTTTTCGGAAAGCAAATACTCCGTTTTAAGCTTTTCTAAAATTGCAGAATATTTTGATAGTAATATTGATAATTTTGTGGACAAATTATTATCTAAGTCTTTTGCAAAGGCATTTATTACTTCCAAAAACGGGTTAACGACTGCATCAATGACATTACCATAAATAAAAGTAACATCTTTTCTTGAAAAATTATAGTTTGAATGCATACTTGTTAGGAATTTAATAACGTTCTCGCTAACCCTTTCAAATTTCTTTTCTTCCGATTCAGGCTGCAAATAGTTTGAAGGAGTTGGAGAAACGTCAATATTTTGTTCGCATTGATTGTCAAGAATAACCGGAATGTCTGCTTCTATTTCCTCAATTTGTTTCACACTTGTTAAAACCCGCGTCTCTTTTATTTGATTTTTTTGTTCTTGGGGAGAAAAACTGCTGTTATGCCGTTTTGCTATATGTCTTTGAAAAGACCTATATTCATAATTTTGACCACAACACTTGTATAAATCAGTAGATTTCAGAAAATGATCACCCCGAAGGTGTTTGAAGAAATGTTTTTTGTCACAAAACTTTTTTTTACACATAAAGCAAATCATTTTATTTTGTGTTATTTACCACTGTTTTTTATTTTGTTTGAAGTATGTATTTCTTTTATTTTTATTTAATTCACAAACTCACTTTTAAATGTTCTCCGATTGAAAACCACAATGAAATGAATAAGCAATTTTCTACTTCACTTCGCTGAACCAAAAATATGTGACAAACAAAAATATACCGTTATAAATGATCGTTACTCTATTTTGTTAGTGGAGTTGTTCAGACGAAAGAGATATGTGTGTGTGTAGTTGTTGCTTCCATAGTTTGCCAACAAGTTCATGAGTACACATTAAATGTGATGCAAACTTTTCAGAATAAAAAACGCGTCAAAATATAAACTTTTTTTATATAGAACGAGTACCAATCCGCTTTTTCGAAACAAATATAGACGACATTTGTTATTATTAAAAATGTTTTGTGTTCTATTAAAAAGTAATGGAGTGAAGCTTTATTTAAAACACAAGTATACAATACACATAAATACATTGCGAATTATTAAAATACTTATAATAAATGTACTAATAATTAATGTTTTTAAGAAACCAGATATAGGTCTGTACACTTAAGTAAACTGTTTGTTTATTTATAGTATATTAAAAATAAAATAAAAGCAAATTAAATAAACGAAAAAAAGGACTTCTGCCTAAAGGCAAAATCCGTTGAAAATGTTATTGTTTTGCAAGTTTCGAGGTACGATTCCACAAATATAGTCACAAACGGCTCAAACGGAAAATGTCAAATGATTTCAATTTATTGATAATTATTTGACATAAAATTGAAAGATTAATTGTTTGATGAGAAAAGGCCTGTACGATTTGGCTTCAAAACGATAAAACATACGATAAACGATATATCGTTTCCCGTGAAAAAGCCTTAACGCAATATAAAATTCTTAAAAGTTTTTTAAATTCTTTACATCAATGTTTCAGAAGTTTGATAAATACAGAACGGAGCAATACATAAATATTAAAAAAACATAAAAAATGGTTAAAGATGCAAACATGTTTATTACTTCGTCTGTAGCTGTCACAAGTTCCGGATCACTTTTCTATTTTGTTGCGATTATATTTTTTCTTTTTCAAGTGTACACAAAATATATCAGAGCAACAATAAATATAATTGTATAAATCTTTCGTCTACTTAAATTAAATAAACGCGAAATATAGTTAGAATAAAGCTAAGTTATCAACACTGAATCAAACTCTATGTTGGTACGCTCCCATACACACACACACACGCTTTACTGAATAACCAAACTACAGTTGACACTCGAGTATGCGATATTTACAAAATTATATTAAATATAAACGTCGCTTGTTTGTCTAATACATAAAACATACCCGCCAATTTTATTTTGTAACTCAGAAATTAAATAAAATATATTTTTATAAACTGAAAAATTTCATCCATGAAAGGCTTTCCATTATTCATTATAAATCAAACAGGAACTATTTCAGATAATCGAGGTTCAACTGTATTTTCTTCTTAGTGCAGTTTCAGTCACGTTCAGTCTTGTGTATTTTGTTTCTCGTAACAAGAGTGTGTTTGTATATTTAGGCTTCTAACGAACATTATTAAGGAAAAAGCTAGAACTAATGTTTAGAGAGATTTGACCAAACGTAAAAAGCAAAGCACAGCATGTCCATTTATTTATGAAGCCATCTCATTAACAATGTGAAACGGTTCATTCAGCCTATGAACATTCTCTATAAACATTGTGGACGAAAAATTTCAATGCAGTTTCATAAGAAATAATGCAATTTAATGAAGCTATTTCAAAACAAGTATGCAACTTTTCATTCGACCAATGAACAGCTTTTATGAAAATGGGTTATGAAAACCTTCATTAAAGTTTCATAAAAATGAAAGCAATTTTATGAAGCAATTTCATTTAACCTATGAAATATTTCATTCAACCAATGAAATTATTTTTATGATTTTTTTTTATGAAGCCTTCATAACACCTTCATTGGATCAATGCAACTTTTGCATTGGATCTATGAAGTTTCATTCTATTAATGAAAATTTTCATTGGATGAATGAAAAAATTCTTATGAAAATGTTTCATTGATCCAATGAAGCATTTTTCTCGCAGTGTAGGCAATTGGTTTCATCAACCAAAATTTCACATTTCCGAAAATTTTACATTGATACTAGCATGTTCTTCGTTAGCGAAAAGTCACTTTAAAATTGTAGATTCGTTCCTATAGTTAACTTTAGGCGTTTTTTGAACTTAAAATTCACAATTTGTTCAGTTTGGGAAAATTCTATTGTCAAAACTTCATACATCGACTCTCAAGGTTTCAGGTAGAATAATAGGAAATAGTGTTTACTTTTAACACCAAAAAGTTTTCAAAATCTTTCATTTTGAAGTTGACAGAGGAGGATATTTGTAAAATCATTGCACTATTTCGAAACCACAGTGACCTCAGTATCAAAATTCTCTCTCCCATCACCCAATACCAAATTAAGTAGAATCTAGTACGCATATTCGATACAATCTTTCCATTCATCTCTCCATTCTAGACACCAACAGTGGTTCAGAATTAGTATAATTTAGTACTTTCTGCAAATTTAGTACTTTTTGCAATCTCAGTACCAAATTTAATAAAATTTAGTACTTTTCGAATAATTTTAGTAAACAAAACTAACTCCATATCTGAATTCTAGATACCAACAAAGCCCTTTATATAAAATTTCAGAATTCCAGCTCTTTTATTTCCCCCCACTATAAAATTTGGTATAGTTATAATATGCATTCCCAAAACCATCTCCTTCTTTCAACCATAGACTCCAACAGTGACATCCGTATTAAATTCCGGAATTCTATCTCAATTCCTTCACCCAACACCCAATTTAGTACTTTTCGTACAATTATAGTACACATTTCCGAAACCATCCCCATATGTCACATGAACAGCGACGTTAATGCCAAATTTCAGATTTCAAGAAATATCTGCTCATCAAATACCAAATTGTCCCAAGTATAGGACTATTTAGTACTTTATATCCAATGGTAAAACGCATTTCTTTAACCAAAACTTTATCACAAACCTATCCCCAACAAGGATCCAAATACAAAGTTCTAGCTTCATCAACTTAACCTTAATCATACTGTTCCAAACTTAGTACCACATAGGGTAGTTCGTGCACTTAGTACACATTTCCAAACCACCCTACTTTACAACCTTGGTTCTCATACCAAATTTCAATTTTTTAGCTCTAATCCTTTCACATTTATCCGTTCGGATTATAGCAATTGGTACTATTTTATAACTTAAGTACCATTTTATATGTATATACTATTTTATATGTATAGATAACATTTATATTATATACTATTTTTAATAAAAACCAGTAAGTCTTAAAGTAGGGAGGGCCCGACTTTATGATACCCTACACCATTTTGCTAATTTAGTAGAGCTCCACATAACAATTAAAAGTTTTTATTGGATAATTCAATCATTCACGCTATGATTATAATTGTAATTTAAAGTTCAAAGAACTTAATATGCCGAAGCATTTGTATATTTTAAATTCGGACTTGTATTGTCCATTTGGTGCACAATTAATTTGAAATCGGATAAAAATATATATGGAAGCTATATCCGAATCGGAGCCCATCTAGATAAAATTTGGCAAAGATATTTCTGAGCTGTATTTGATATATTTCCGTGAATATCGTAGTTACGGAGTGCATATTACGGCTGTGGGTAACAGATATAAAAAATGTGCCAAATTCCATCCCATTTGGACAAATATTAGACGTTTGGTGCACAATAAAAGGTAAATCGGACGAAGTTATATTTAGGAGCTATATCCAAATCTGAACCGATTTCCATAAAATTTAACAAATGTATTTCAGAGGTATATTTGATATATATCCCCAAATATCGTTGTTACAGAGTGCATATTGCGGTTGCGGAGGACTAAAATAACAAATCGGATGAACAATATATATGGGATCAATAGCTATATATGAACCGATTTCTATCAAATTTGGCACATTTATTTTCAGGCTTAATTTGGTTGTATGTGCAAAATTCCATACTATTCGGACTGATATTACACGTTTTGTGCACCATAAAAGGCAAATCGGACGAAGATATATATGGGAGCTACATCTAAATTTTTACCGATTTTCTCCAATTTCAATAGGGTTCGTCCTTGAGCCAAACAAATGTTGTTTGGAAAATTTCATCTGGATCGGGCAATAAATGTGAACTGTACTTTTTTTACAAAAATATATGGACAGACGGACGGACATGCATAAATCGACCCAGAATGTGATTCTATGGAACTATGTGTCTATCTCGTTTCCTTTTGCCTGTTGCAAACAAAATCACAAAGACATAATACCCTGACCACCTTGTAGTGTTGGGTATAAAAATACCATATAGGAATGACCAGCTGCTGTATTGTTGAACAACTTTACGAAAACGTTTTCTACTTTTGGCATCTTTTAAATCACCCATTTTAATGTTTGTACCTTATTTGAACATTCAACTATGACGTCACCACCTAATTTAACATGTTAGCCTAATTTAACATGTAAGTGAGTGTCTGTGTGTGCCTTACATGTATTTCCTTTCCAAATTTCACGAGAATCATAAAACACTCCACTTAACATCATATAAAGAAGCCTCTGCCTTTATGCGAATAAGTGACATGATAGTAACATTTATTAGCTGTTTATGGGACAACACTTTTCTCCGAAAGTTAATATAATTTGCTGTACATTAATGGAATATCTAAAAAGGTCTTTGTAACGTATTTTTAGAAGTTGACAAAAAAAAGCATTTTAAAACCCCAGCACGTTTTATCTGATGTGTGTTCATTTTAAAATTACAACGAATCTTGTGAGATAATTTTGTTTTTAAACTTGTGCGATTTTGTTATTTTTTTACGTTGCAGAAAATGTAAAGCTTAATAAAATCGATAGAAATCATTTTTAAACTTAATTTTAAAGATGTAAGAGTTATTCGGGGAAAACGTATGATCTTGTAAAGAAAATACAACAATGGTATAACAAAGTGCTAGGCAAATTTAGAATCTGCTCAATTTTGAACGAATTTTACACCCACTCAAAAACGAGAAAAATATACTAACTCATATTCGAGCTTGAAAAAAATTAGTTTGTTCAATTTGTTTTCTGCTCTCAGCAGCGCATTCTCTCAAATTCGAGTAGGTTTCAGTCTTTGTACAAATTCGAGCGAGTTTTTAAGGGGCCTGATTAAAATATATCAATTAACCATGCCAGCATTCGTTGGTCGTATAACTGACAATACAGCTTTCGCATAAGGCAGATAATTCTCGTTGACTTGGCGCTGCCATGTTTTATTCTCTGATGAAAATGAATTTAATATTTTTTGTTCAGACGATAAGATTTTAGTACAGTCTTTAGGCAGCATCGGGTGCGGGTGAACTTGTATTTATTGATCAGGTTATGGACAAGACTCTATATCGTAATATTCTTAAAAAAATGTAAAAAGAGTGTTGAAAACTTGAAACTGGGGTGTGGTTAAAATTTTCAGCACGACAACGACCCTAAACACACAACTAATGATGTGCGTTTTTGGGTCGCATACAACGTTCCACACTTTCTCCCTCAGGAATTCCCAACCTAAATCCAATCGAAAATCTAAATCATATCTTATCCAATTAAAAAAGTTTTCCCTCAAGAATGTAAATATATCGGTCAGTATTACAAAAAAAAAACTTTATTCGATGTTCGATTTATGTTCTGGGAAAACATAGTTTGAATTAAAAGTACCTTACATTTTTTATACCCTCTACCATAGTATGGAGGGTATATTAAGTTTCTCATTCCGTTTGTAACACCTCGAAATATACATTTTAGACCCCACAAAGTATATATATTCTTGATCAGCATAAAAATCTATGTCGATGTCCGCCAGTCTGTGAAAATACCTTTAGTTTTCGAACGAAATGAAATGGGTTAATAAAATTTTACTCAAATGTGTATCATGTCTGCAGCACTTTTGATATTAAAAATGGGTCATATAGGCACACGTTTTGGTATGGCCCCCATATAACGGTACATCCCGATATTCGGTATTTTGATGATTTAAGCGACATTACTCACCGAAAATGTTTCAAATTTGGTATTTGAAGTTCGTAATAGATACTACAGCCTATGACAGAAAATTGTCTATGCAGGTCCACGTCTTCGGATAGACCTCATATAGCGGTACCTTCCGATATTTGGTATTTTAATGATTTTAGCGACATTATTAACCGGA